CGTGTTTTGTTGCGTGTCCCAGCGGCTGCTCCAGTGCCTCCTGCCTCCTCCCCGTGGGAGGCTGGGGTGTGGGAAGTGTGCAGACTCCAAGGCAATAAAAGTGCCACGTGGGAGCAGAAGTGTTGAGTGGCTGGGGCAGAGGTTGGTGCGGGGCTTGTGTGGGTTGCTCAGGGTGTTGCGGGACCGCAGACGGTCGGGGAGGTCAAAGCGCTCAGGGAATCGGGTCAGGAACACAAACGCTGTGAAACCAAAACCAGAAGTGGGTTCTGGGGCTCTGTCCATGTGTCAGAGGAGAAGGAGCATCGGGAGGATGGTGTGGGAACTGCTCCAGGCAGGAGCACTGCGGATCCTCTACCAGTGTAGGTGATGTACTGGGAAGAAGATGGAGGTCTGAGGAGGGGAGGAAGAGAATCTAATCCCACCTTGTGCTGTTTGGGCCCAAGGGAAGAGCCTGAAGCAGTTCTGCTGCTTCCCAAGGTTTCAAGCCCTGCAGGGTGTGCCTGGGGGAGTGCAGGGGCACAGAGCCCTTCTGAAACACCTGGAGTGTGTAGAGCCCCCCGTGGAGCAGCTCCCATCCTCTCCCTTCCCTTGGCACGTCTGAAATGCAGGAAAACAACCACAGCTTCCTTTGTCTAACATGAATGAATCCCACAAGGGATGAAGGGAGATGTGCCCATGGTCTCAGAAGGGAAAAATCCTGGCTGGTGCCCCGAGGAGCTTGTTCATGTGTCTTGAAAGCCTCATGTTCCTGTAACTCGTCTCAAACATTCTTAGGATTTGCTAATTTAGTCTATTTTTGGACAGACACCCCGTTCCAAAGACGCTGTTGTCCCTGAGCCTCCTACATCCACTGCTTACCCACAAAGAGGGGAAGGGAAACTCCTCCAGGCTGTGCTGGGACCTCTCCTGGGAAGGGGGACCAGACTCTGCTGCTCGTCTTGTACCCAGAGAAGCTCTTGCCAAAGGGGAAAGAGCCATCCCTGGAGAGGAAAAGGGAGCAAGGCAGTGGGAGATGTCAGAGGAGTGATTTCAACATTACTAATAACCCTCCTCCTCCAAATCCCTGGAGACCCTTCCAGAAGCCTGAAATGTTGCTAAACAGGCAATGCACCGGGGGATCTGCAGGGAGGTCGCTGGGCGGGGGTGGCTTCTGCTGTGGATGCTCTCAGGATGTGCCGGAGAGCAAAACATCCTCCCCTGGCACTGCTCACAGAGATGCTGCCCCGTCGTGCGGCTCCGGGGGCTGGTCAGATACCAAGATGCTGCCTGGGATTTCACAAACACTTCTTTTGCCGCTGAACTTCCTAATTGCTCGTGTTTGAGCAAGGGAGGAGGCTCTGACAGCCACCCCTTCTCCCCCTGGCGCGGGAGGGCAGCCCCTCCTCGGGCATCAGCTGCCTCATGCCCAGGTGCTGGAACCCCCCAGAGCTGGGGGTGTTTATTAATATCTGCCATGTGATACCACATCTCTCTCAGCTCTGCAGGCAAAAACACAGCATAACCATGGGAACTTCTGTTCCTCTACCCCCCTCAGCACGCCCCGCTAATCCAGGCAAGTGGCCCGCTGTGATCGGGTTGGGTGTAATGAGCTCTGGAAATCCTGGGTGTCCCAGCAGTTCCCTCTGCCCTTCCTGGCGGGGGGATGTGTAACAGGCTTGTCATCGGGAGGCTCTCAGGGCTCATGTTGCAAGGAAAAACAACCAGATTTGGCAGCTGGCTGAGCTGTTTTGGGGTCTGTGCAGGCAGGGAAGGAGGCTCTGTCCCAGCTCGTATGTCTGAGCTCCAAATATCCGCGCTGGGACCCCCAGGGGCTCTGCTGCAGCTGCCGGGGGATGCTGCGGGGCAGCGCTGCCAGCTCCGCTCTTACCCTGCCCCATCTGATGCCGGGGCAGAGCCCTGGGGGTCCCACCGGGCTCCCCGAGATCCGGCAGATGGAGCAGGAAGAAGGGACTTTGCTCCGCGTGGCTGGCGGGGCTGCTGCCGTGCCCGGCGGGTTTGGGAAGGGCGTTTATCGCCCAGCCGGGGTGTGTCGGCACAGCCCTGGCCCCGGGGCGCCGGCTGCTCCCACCGCGCCCAGGAGCGCCCTGCAGCCCTCCAAACACACGCGTGGGTGCTCCGGTCCCGCTCCTGACAGCCCCAGCCCTGCTCCTTCTCCTGTCAGGGGGGTCGTGATTTCATGTCGGGGGGGACTGGGCTGGAGGTGGAGGGGAGAACTGGGGTTACTGGGCCGAGCTGCAGCTCCTGCCCCGCAAACTGGGTCTCTTGGTGCAAAAGGGAGATGCCTTGCCAGGAGCCTTTCTGAGAGTGTCCATCTGCATCCAAAATCTATGACTCGTCCCCTTCGTGGCCACGGGGCCACTGCCATTCCCAGTTGCTCTTGGAAAATCCTGATGTCCGTGGGCAACATTTACCTGTCCCATGGCTGTGCCGTGCTGGTGGCCAACACCCACCCTGTGATCCCCCTCCTTTGCCACAGCCCTTCTCCTCTGCCTCTCCAAGCAGAAGAGCCCACAACCGAGGCTCAAAATTCCTGTGAGGAGCCTGGGAGACCTCTCGCTTCAACCCAGAGAAGGGAAGGGAGGAAAAATGAGGTTTGGAGGCTAATTCTGGCAGCATCAGGCATAGGAAAGATCAAAAACTCAGGGCAGGAGTACAAGAGAGGAGGGAAGCTGTTGCGTGCATGCTCCTGGAAGCCCCGACAGCCCCGGTTCATGCATCCTGCACGTTATTTCTGTACCTACTTAAATTAAAACCAGCCTCGTCTTGCGGACGCTGACTGGAGCCAGGCAGTTCTTCTCCCCAGGGGAGAATCCAATTTTCACTCCATCTTGCTTGCGTTTTTGACCTGGAATGACTCTTCTTTTTATATTTAACCAGCGCTCCCTCCGAGCCCTCGTGCCGCGCTGCACTTCTCACGCAGAGCCGGCGGCGTTGATGGCACACCGAGCCCCCGGGCAGGAGACCAAGGTGGGCATCCTGCTCACCCAGGGTCCCACTGACCCGGGGCAGAGCTGGTGGTGTGATGGCACACAGAGCTCCAAGGTGGTTTCCCAAGGTGGGCATCCTGCCCGCCTGAGCTCCGAGTGACCCACGGCAGAGCCGTGCCATGACCCGACCAGAGGCCACACGAGCTCCGCAGGCATGACCAGCCTGGCTGCTCCAGCCTTGTCCCCTCAGTGCTGGGGCAGACCTGGCTCCAAGAGGGCAGGGTTAATTAATGGCAGCTCAGAGACGTGCCCTGGGTCTGTCTAATCCAGGCTCCAGAGGTGTTTCCCTGCCTGCTCCCGAGCCTTTCCTACGGGCCAACCTGTCAGTCCTGTAAATTAAACCTCTCAGAGGCTCAGGAGACACCACAGGGGCTGGGCTGGCAGGAAGGTGGATGGGGTGGAGGTATTTATTCACTCCTGCAGTGCTCTGGGAAGCCCTGGAGAGGCCTTTGCCTGCCGTGACTCGCCCGTGGCTGTGTGCTGACAGCAGCGATGTTTTGCTTTAATTCCCCAATCTTCACAAGCCCAGGATATTCCGGGTGTCTCTCCAGCAAGAAGTGAGGCTTCTCCAGGGTTATGTAACCCATCCAGGGCAAAGCTGGGCTGTTTGGACCCCCCTCCTAACCAGCTCCCAACACCTGGCGAGGCAATTAGTCACCAATTACAGACGTGACGTAGGGCACCAGCCCAGGTCCTGCTGCACCCATGGGGCTGAGGGACCAGCTGCCCCGGAGCAATGTGTCTCCTTCCTAATCCTGTGACTCCATCCTTAATCAGCCCGGGATAGGCGAGTAAATAACTCTGCCACCGGAGACTGGTGCAGGGAAGGATGAATGTTCTGTGAAGTACAGGATATGGGTATGGATATGGAGAGGGAGCCCTGAGCTGTGGGATTAACTCCTGCTAGCAAACCTTTGGCTCTGGATCGCCCGTGGTCCCCACTGTCCTTCCTGGGGACTGGAGGGGATGGGAATGCTGCCCTGCAGCCAGTGCAGCGTGAGCACAGGGAATGTGCTGGGCTTGGATGTCCTGACATGGAGATGCTGAGTTAGTTTGGCTGCGGTGGGATGGTGTTATTGTCTCCTCTGGAGCCAGAGGAGTGAGGGTCCCTCTGTGTTTGGTGGCAGGATGTGATGCTGAGGGACAGGTCCTGCCAAGCAGGAGGGCAGCAGCAGCTGGAGAAATCCCACTTGTTGCTGATGCAGTGGGACAACTGCCCCACCTCCAAACAGTGCCCTGAGACCCTTTTTTCCTGACCCCCGAGGGAAGCCCACCTCCTGCCATGGGGGTTTATAGTGGAGAATTCAAATATACTTTCTGTCTAAAGCAGAGCCCAGGAGTCTTCAAAGTGTATTAGCAGGCAGATTCCTCAGGCAGCACCATGACTGAGGCAGCAGCCACGTACTCAGGCTTCCAGGCTTGCCTTGTACCAGGAAAAAGAAATCCTGGATTAGCTGTACACCCACTCCAGGACACTGCCCTGGCAGGCAACTCCGGCTCTGTGCCCGCGGGGCTCTGGGCTCCCTGGCTGCCCTCAGATGGCTTCCGAGGGCCAGGGTCCCATGGGAAGACTGTTAGAGGGAGACTTCATTTCATTCTTAATCCAGAAAATCAGCAAATAGAGCAGGGTGTCATTTTCAGGCCTCGGAGACCTGAAAAGCTGTCGCCAGCGAGTGCTCCATGTGCTTGCCCAGCCACTCTGTGGCACCAGGAGCAGAGGCTGGAGGGGGTGGAAAAGCAGGACGGGGTGACTTGTTTTCCTATGAGCCGAATTCCAGCTTTGCAGCTCCAAATCCCCGTTTTTATAGAACTTTTCCGCTGAAGTCTGCTCCTGCCCGGGGCATGCCTGTGTAACCGCTCCTCTCTGCATTCCTCAGATTCCTCTTCCGCTGGAGACTGGCTTGAAGACGGAGGGGTCTGAGGTCCCTGGTGGAGGAAGGAGGCGAGGAGAAGGAGGAGGAGGAGGAGGTTTCCCCTTGGACTCTTTAAGCTGTCAGACCGGAAAACCGAAGCATGTCCCAGGTCATACAGAACCACGTGCTGCGCGTTGGGCAGACTGTGTGCATTCCCTCTCCGGAGGAAAGCAAGAGCCTGCACCCAGCGGGGTACCCGGGGTGCTCCACCCTGCCCGGCAAGTACGTCTACTACTCCACGGAGTCCTGGGCTGAGCCCCCCTCCGTGGTGCACCCCAAGGCTCACCTGCTGCCCGGAGGGAGGCTGTACGGAGCCCACCCCGTGCTGGAGCACGTGGCTGCTCACACACAGGGGAAGGGCCAGCAGGATTCCTCCGTGGAGAGACCCGCTGCTCCGTGTCAGCCGAAGCAGGAGGAGAACACCGGCACGGATCCTGAGGCTCAGCCAGTGCCTCCCTCCCTGGACATATCCATAGAGGCTCTCAACAAGCTGATCCTAGAAATCGATCCCACCTTCCAGCCGCTCAAGGATCCAGCCCAACCTGCTGTTTGGGGTGACACTGAAGCCACCAAGAAACAGGAACCAGAGGCGATAGGTGAGGAAAAGGCACCACTGAGGTCCTGGAGCCAGAGCAGCTCCGACCCAGTGAAGACCCTCTGCCAGGAGCAGCAGGAGCCCAGGGCACACACCCTGTCCTGTGGGCAGGACGAGGTCCTGGGGGATTGGAAATGGGCATCAGGGACATCCTGCACCGTCCCCAGTGGGATCAGTGTGGGGGGTTGTCTCCTGACATCAGGGCTCCATATTAAGGAGCAGGACAGGCTGTGTATCCAGGCTCTGCCTAATTCTGGTGCTTCCATGGCCCTGGTTTGATCACTGCTAACACATCTCATGCCCAGTCAGCTCAAAGAGATCCAGAAGGGAACAGGGGAAACAGCCTTTAATTCAACCTGATGTTTGTTTCCCTGTGTTCGGAGAAAACATTTCTCATTGGGAATGAAACTTGGGAAAACTCCTAATCCCAATTGTCACCATCAGTGACAGGCCCTGGGCTCTGGGTGCCATGTGAGGACCCTGCTCCCCCATTCCCCCAAGGCCAGCAGAGCCTTTCCCAGGGTCACACCTGACCCTTGGGAGCACAAGGATTTACAGCCAGATTTCCAGGGCCCTGGGCTAAGGTACTGAGTGTTACACAACGATCCCATTTAAATGTTCCCAATGGCTTTGCCAGGGAAATTCTTTTTCCAGGGCTTGTGCACTCCTGGGGCAGCATACCTGGCATAGGCAAGGCACCAGCAGCACATACCAGCCCGTTCTCTGCTCACAGGGCTCCCTACATGAACCCTTGTGCAACACTTCCCTGGCATCCCTGCAATCCAAGCTCTGATCTGTGAGCTGCTCCTGATCCAAGCATTCCTGCCTGGGCTCTCCTGTGCACAGGGCAGCCCTGTCCTGTTGTCCTGGTGCACAGGGGGTGGTTCAGGGACCTGAGGGCACAGACTTGCTGCTTCCCAAAAGCCTTATTGCCTGTCCCTGTCTTTACACGTGGAAATACCTTGACAATCTGTCCCCAGGCCCCTTTCCAGAGGGAGGTGAAATGAGGGGATGGTAAAGGCATGAAAAAAAATCTGATCTCCCTGAGCCCTCGTGCAAACACGAGGACTGTGGGGAAGGAGGAGGGGAGCCAGGCAATTCCAGGGCAGACAGTGTCCCTGCTTCCCCCTGGGATGGACTGAGTGGCCTTGCAGATAAAGTGCTGTGACAAAGTGCAAGTTCAGCTCTGGCTGCTCAGTGCCTGGAGCCATTTCTCTGCCTCCCTCAGGGCATCGCTCGGGGGATGGAGCCTGAGCAGCTTCACAGGTTTGGAGAATCTGGCTCCAAGAGAACACCTGGAATGCTGGCCACAAATGCAGTGGGAAAAGCCTCACTTTAGCTTTCATTTTCTTTGAACAGCTCTTGGATTTTACACAAACTTCCTCCCACTGTGCAGGGTCCCTGTTCACCCACCTCCTCCCACTCCAGCCCTGCAACCTGTGCCCTGATGTGAGCGTGGTAGGGACTGATGGTGAGCAGAGAAGTGAGAGGGGCTTGTTCTTGGTTAGCGGAACCCACGAGGAAGCTTTGAAAGTGGCAAATGCGGCAGCAACAGGAGTCAAATTCAGAGAGTCACAAATCCCTCTGGAATCTGGAGGAGAGGAGAGATCTCGGATCTCAGCTTGCGTGACATCTGGGCTCCTTGTCTGGGGCGCTTTTGCCACTCCTTGGTGCCGGAAAACTTGCCAAGGTCTTGAGCAAATATTTGAGGTTTAACCCCAGGTGATAAGGGGAGCCGAGGCAGAGAAGTAGGAGGTAAAAGGCCTCGTGAGCACGGTGTGCAGATGCTTGCCAGTTCCTTAAAGGACAATTAAAATCCCCATTTCTCTCTGCCCTCGAGCAGACATTGACAAGCAGCATCCGGCCAGGCCAGGAGCTGGCTGTGAGGGTTTGTGCGCTGATACCGGGACATGTGGCTCCGGAGCCGCTCCCAGGCCGGGCGCTGGAGGAGCTGCTGCTGGCAGCGAGGCTGTGGAGGGGGAAGGCTGTGGCTCTGGCTCTGTCCTGGCGAGGTCCAGCCATGTCCCCACTGGGGACCAGCCCTCCCGGCTCACCCGGCGCCTCCTCGGCGCTGGCCGTGCCGCTCCAACCCCGCGCCGGGGTTGGCATGGAGGAGGGGGCTCGGGGAGTGACTTTTGTACAGACTTGTGCTTTTCCTGCTCATCCAGCTCTATGCCCCAGAGGTCTGGTTGTTCCTTGCAGTAACCAGGGCCGGCAGAATGGGCTGTTCTGCCTGTCCAGCTCCCACCCGGCAGGTCCGTCCCATCACGCCACCGCCAAGGAGGTCGGGGTTGTCAGAGCAGTTTGTCTTTGCTGCAGCAAGAAAGATTTTTCCCCTCTCCAAGAAGTACTTTTGAGAAGGGGAACTTCCCTGAACTCCATGGCAGGGCGAGAACGAGGCGCTAAAAGCAAAGCTGGGCACGTCCAGACTGGAATGGAGGTGCAAACTTCTGGCACTGGAGTGATTAACCAGCAGAGCAGCTTCCCTGGGCGGGGGAATCCACCCTCGCTGGGAGTGCTTAAATCGAGTCTGAGTGTTCCAGCCCAGACAGAAATTATGGCTTTGCCCAAGGAAGCCAGGGCCTGACGTACATCAGGCACCTGGGGAGCCAGGCACACTGTCCTGGCTGTGAGGTTTCTTTCTCTGACAAGAGATGCTCTGTCAGGTGTGTTCCTGTATCACTAATGGCAAGCAGAGGGGCTGGACGTACCTGGCCTGCTCTGAGCACGAATGGAAAAGCAGGAAGAATCCCACAGCAGGGCACAGGCACAGAAACTGCCTTGGAAGTTGCTTCCCTAGAGAGATTTGTGCAGGATGGAAGGGAAGAGGGAGCAGGCAGCCCCTGTCTGGGGCTCTGTGCTTGCTGCCAGCACGGCTGGTCCCACAATGGACACCAAGAGCCCTGTAACTGCCCTTGTCCTGCATGGATTCCCTCTGCCTCCTGTCCCACCACCACTCAGCTGTACCTGGGGCCAGGTGACATCCCCCTGCTCCTCTTCCCAGGCCCAGGTGACATCCCCCTGCCCCTCTGCTCAGCCAGGGTGTGCAGGGCCACGCTCCTGCTGCCCCAGCACCCTCCAAACCTGACGTCATCCCCGGAGGGAGCAGCCAGATGTTTTTCTCTTGAGTCAGGTACAAACAGAGAGGCTGCTGGAGGGAACACCCACCTCTGGCTGCAGGTCTCTGCAGGTCCTGGCTGGGTAGTGCTGACGAGGGGGGTCTAAGCAGCCAGACATGACTGCAGGTAACCCCCTTCCCTGGGAGCCTGCCAGCACTGGGGGGAGTCAATGCACTCTGGGATCTGTGAGGAATCAGCCCCCCTAGGATCTCAACAAAGGACATGGGGGTGTCCCCTGGGACACCCCCCTTCCCCTAGAGCCAAAATTCACAGCAGGAGGAACAGACAGACGTGTGCCCCACGGAGCTTTACTAAGGAGCTCAATTTAGACACTAGATTTTTAATAACCTCCTCTCTCTTCCTGCAGACATCAAGTACATAGAGCTGACAGCAGGCAGAGCCACGGGGCCCGAGCTGCCACAGGGCTCCCCCAGCCCTTCAGGCACCCCCTTCTCCAGATCCCCCCAGACCAGCGGCTTCCTCACCCAAAAAGGGGCACTCGGGGGCAAATACAGCACCAGTGACAGCGTGGTTTTCTCCAGCCCACCCGTCCCCTCGAGCTCCCAGTCAGCCACCCTGAGCTGCAGCAAAGCATCCGAGAGCATCTCCGTGCCCCGGCAGTGCACGGCTGGACACACGGACACCGTCCCCCTCGGCACCTCCCCGGGCTTTGACAACCTGCTGAAGCCTGTGCATGTGGTGAGGGCCCAGCAGAGGGGCAGCTGGGTGTCCCAGCTCTCCACGAGCCCCGGCTCTGACACCAGTTACATCCTGGGAAGGTAAATGCCGCCTGTGCCCCGGCCTCGGGGTGATGGTGGGGATGGAAGGGGCACAGGGCTGTGCTCTGAGTCCCTCATTCCTCAGGCTGGGAGCTGCAGGGCTGACAGAGCTGGTGCAGTCCCTGGGCGTGGGCTCTGCATGTCAACACCCCCCTGATGTTCTCTGCTCTTTGTCCCTCTTGCAGCAGCACCCACTCACTCCACAGCGAGGACTCGGATGCTCCCACCGCTGCCTGCCCGTCCCCCGCCAGCTCCCTGGGCAGCCCCTGCTCCCCTTCCCCTGGCACCGGGTGTCACTCCAGAGAAGCTTTCGGCCAGAGGCCCCCCCAGCCCAGGGCAGGCAGCTCCCCCAGCGCCAGCTCCTCCTCGGCCCAGAAGGGACAACCCAGCAGCTGCCCCCCCTCCATCCTCCCCTCCTCAGCCGACATCCCGGTGCTGTTGGTGAACGGGTGCCTGGAACAAGGAGATGGATCCCCCCAGACAACCAAAGGCCCCCCCAGCTCTGCCATGCAGGCCCCCCCTCCCGGCTGCAGCCCTGCCCCGGGGCTCGGGGGCCTGAACAACGCGCTGTCGGCTCCTGCGCTCTCCTGCGTCCCGGACAGTGAGTCCCAGGGCAGGGCTGGGGTGGGAGCTGCAGACCCTGGCAGCTGCTGGGAAAGGGGGTGCAAACCCCATTTTCCCTCTGGTTTAGCTGTGGGTTATAGGACAGGAAAGGCAGGAGGTCCTTGCTGGAGCTGGGGCTCCTCGCTGTGTTCCCCCGGGGCTCCCTGGTGGTCTCCAGGCTCCTGCCTGGTGACCCTGGATGAGCTGCACCTTCTGCTGGGGCACAGGCTCAGCAGGCAGGAGCTCCCTGTTCCCTCGAGGAAATGCAGATAACACCTGTTTATAGTACCTGAGAGTGAGAAACCACTGTTCTGTCCTGTCCTCACAGCTTGTGGGGCCAGACAGGGTCGGGAGGAGGGGTTGGGGTTCCTGTTTGCTCTGAGGACACCGAAAGGTACCGGAGTTCACAAGGTCCCTCATTCAAGGGCAAACACTGGGGCTATTGTTCTTTGGAGGAGATGAGCAGAGGCAGCTCTCAGAGCAGTGGGTTTTTAATTGGGATCCTTATGGGAATATCAAGAGGATGTGTGGGTCAGATCCTCGGCTGCTGTAAAGCCCACGGTCCAGTGCATTGTGCAGGGCTGGGCAGGCTGGCACAGCCAAGGGATTCCATGTGCCCCTCTCTGCGCTACATCACAGCCTGCCAAGAGAGATAATTACGTGGAGAATGAGCTATTCTGAGGGGTGGGGAGGAAAGGATTCAGAAGGATTGAAAAAAAACCTTCAGCCCTGACCAGCCTGAAAGAGAAATGTCTTTGCTGGGTTCTGTCACCTCTGGAGGTCCTGCAGGTCCCTGCTGGCCTTGACACCGGGGGGTCTCTTGCAGGTCCCCTCAGGGCTGGGCAGCCCACCATGAAGTTCGTGATGGACACATCAAAGTACTGGTTCAAGCCGAGCATCAGCAGGGACCGAGGTGAGGCAGTAAGGGGCTCTGGGGGGGTGACCCCACCTCAGGCTCCTGTCTGTGCCCTGGGATGGAGTCCTCCTGTATCCCCAGGGACTCAGTGAGGGCGATTCAAAACCTACTGGTGGCTGATGGGGGTGGAGAGACACTCCAAGGGGGATGAGTCAGAAACATGGGCTGTGCCACAGCCCCTCTGTGACCCCCTCCAGCCCAGAAAAGCTTCTCCTGCCCCTGTGCTGTCCCACAGCACAGCCTGGGCAGGGGCTGAGTGTCCTGGGGACCACAGAGACCCAGGGGACCGAGGCAGGGCCCTGCAGGAGCACAGTTGGTGCTGCATGAGGGACTGGCGCGTCCTTGGCAAGTGCTCCGGAGTCTTTCCTGCTGCTGCCAAGGAGCGACTGCCCCCTGAGCACAGGAGTGGGGAGGTCCCACCTGTTGTGCTTGGCTGAGCCCCTGCCTGTGCCCTGACAGCAATCCAGCTGCTGAGGGACAAGGAGCCAGGCACGTTCCTTGTGCGGGACAGCACGTCATTCCGGGGCTCCTTTGGACTGGCCATGAAGGTTCCCGGCTCTCCATCCAGCAGCCAGACAGGTACAGGGATTCACTTGGAAATGGGGGGGGGGTGTCTTTTAATGCTTTAACTGAAACTAGGCAAACTAAAGACAGGTGAGAAGCAGCAGGGTTGTGGTTGTGTGGGGAGACATTGACGGTGTCTGTTGGTGCCCATCCCACCCCTCACAGGGGCTGGCACCACACTGGCACCACAGAGGAGCTCTGGTGATGCCCTGGGATGGGCAGGGGTGGGCAGAGGAGGGCAGGGACAGGTAGGGGCGGGCAGGGGGGAGACAGCAGCTCTGGGGCCGGTGCTGACGCTGTTTTTGGTCCCTCTTGCAGGTGACGACAGCAGTGACCTCGTCCGGCACTTCCTCATCGAGTCCTCCACCAAAGGGGTGCACCTGAAAGGGGCCAGAGAGGACCTGTATTTCGGTAAGGACGGTGCCATCACCCACAGCAGCCCTGGCAGCCCCAGGAGCTGTCTCCAAACCTCCTGGAAGCACCGGGGTGAGCCTGTTGCACACCTGGCAGCACGGTGACCCCCCCCAGCCCCCCGTCCTGCCTGCACTTCCCTGGCACTGAGATCACGATGGTGGGAAAATGACCTTCCTGGGACACTGCTGGGGGTGGAGGAACATGGTGGGAGGTTTCAGGCACCAGCCATCCCCCCCCAGCTCGTGGCTCTGTGTTTCAGGGAGCCTCTCTGCCTTTGTCTACCAGCACGCCATCACCCCGCTGGCACTGCCCTGCAGGCTCAGCATCCCCACCCGAGGTAGGTGACAGGACAGGAGGGATGCTCCAAGGGGAGGAGGGGAAGGTCCTGGAGGTGGGGAGGGGGCTGAGCCCCTCGGGGTGCCCTGCACAGGGCTGCTGCCCTGGCTGCAGACAGAGCAGGGACCTGCAGAGCTGCCCTGGGGACAGCACAGCAGTGACTCCCTTCTGCTGGGGGTGAGGGTGGGCGAGGGAAGGAAGGAGTGGGGAGATCAGGGGTGAGCAGAGCCAGGAGAGGGAGGTGGAGGACAGTTAAGTCAATTACTGCTCTAAGCCCCTGCAATTAGAGCAGTCCTGGGCCTTTGTGAGATAAGGAATGGCCAAAGAGGTGACGTCACTGCTCCTGCTTGTCCCTCCTGCAGATCTCGCTGACGGAGAAGACAGCCCTGACTGTGCTCCTGAATCCACGCTGTCCCTGGCAAAGAAAACCGCAGGTGAGGGCACAATCTGCCCAGCTGGCAAGAGCTGGAGCCCTGGGCACGCTGTGACAGCAGCAGGTCACCCCCACACACTGGTGGGGACCTGTGACACCTCCCTCCAGCTTCCCCACCGGGCTGGGGATACCCGCAGGACCTACCCACATCCCCAGCCCCTGGGCTGTAAGGGAACCTACTGTTCTTAAGGAAAGGAGATTTGGGGTCCTCAAGATACTAGAAAACACAGTTCTTGAGGCCACAAGGCTGACAAAAGGCCCCCATTTCCCACAGTTTTAAACAGGTCCTGATTTTTAAGCCTCTCTCCTGACGGGCTTCAATGGGGCTTGAACATCTGGAGCTTCAGGAGAGGGATGGGGCAGTCGGGGGCTGCTTGAATTGCTGAGGGACCTTATGGGGGACACGTGGATACTGCAGAGCAGGATGGGAGGGGTCTGTGCACCCCAGCCTGGGTGAGAACAGAGACTGAAGGGCAGGAGACCACACGGATGGGTCACGGCACAGGCCGGGGAACCGGGAACGGCTTTGTTTTGCTGGAAATTCTGAAAAATCAGTTGGCAAGCTGGAAAGTTTAGTTTGACCCAGAACAGCCCTTTAAACAGCTCAATCAGCCTGAAATGTCATGTTTTAGGTTGGCCTTCAGCCCTTCGTTGGCTTGGGGTATTTCTGCTTTTCATTAAAGGAAATATGTAATAAACAGGAAAAAAAAAAAAAAAAAAAGCCCCAAATGTGACATTTAGAAACGGGAAATTAAATACTTTGACTTTTACAACAATTAGTGCGAAGAATTAAAGTAAACCAAACTAAATTGGTGAAGAATTTCTGAGTCACCCGATCTTTTTAATTTTCATCAAAACAAAGCTGACCCGGGTTCCGGGTTGAGGGTTCTGCAGGATGATCTGATCCCCCAGGGGCCAGCCCTGGATGTCACCCGTGCTGAGCCGGGCTCTGTGCTGTCCTTGCAGTGTGCAACGTCCTGTACCTCAGCTCGGTGAACGTGGAGACGCTGACGGGAGCCCCGGCCATCCTGAAGGGAATCTCCTGCACCCTGGAGCTGGAGACGCCTCCCACGCCCACCCTGGTGCACTTCAGGGTGACAGAGCAGGGTGTCACCCTGACCGACGTCCAGAGGAAGTAAGAGCCCAGGGATGGGCTCAGGGGGTGGCCGAGGGGGGCTCGTGGAGAGGCGGCTCCCCCGTGCCCCCCCAGCCCCCTCCCTGCCTCCCAGCCTCGGGAAAAGCTGCCCTGCTTGGACAAACCCACGCCACGATCCAGGGGTGGGCTCGGCCCCCTCGTTACAGCGCAGGGCTGCGCGTGGCAGCATCTCAGGGGAGGGAGGCAGGAGGCAGCTGGACCCAGGGCTGGGATTCTGGGGTGCCATTTGGGACCCCCGTTCCCCAGCGGCCGTGACAGGGTTTGGATTTGCATAATCCTGTTCCTGCCTGGGCCCTTCCCTCCCATAACCCTTCCCTCTCCTCTTCCAGGGTGTTTTTCAGGAGACACTACCCCTTGGCTGCCATCAGGTTCTGTGGGATGGACCCTGAGAACAGAAAGTGAGTTTTGGGCGGCCGTGCTGGTCAGAGCTGCCTGCTGTGCTCCCTTCCCTGCCATTCCCAGCACCTCTGCACTGCTTCAAATCCCAAATCCCAAAAAACTGCCCTGGGGTGGATCTAAACGTAACCCTTGGCTTTGCAGCTGATGGAATGAATTAAACATCAGCCTTTGAGCAACTCCAATTCTGTTCTTCCCTCAGGTGGCAGAAGTACTGCAAGTCCTCCAGGTAAGACCTGCATGGGGACCTCCTGCACGGAGCTGGGGGCTGGAATCTGGGGGAATGATGCTGCTTTGGGAAGCAGTTGCATTGCAGAACACCAAAGAATCAGCTTAAAAATGAAGAGAGGATTCAGTAGAAGTTACTGTGGTGGCTGGATGAGGGGTGGGACTGGTGGGTGAAGTTTTAGGGCGGGTTTGCTCTGTGGGTTTGGGCGAGAGGTTTGGCTGAGCCCCGTTCTCCACATCCCCTTGTGCAGAACCCCCCATCCAAATCCCACAGCCTTCCCAGGAACTCACACTGGGCTCAGGAAGGGAGTTTATATCTGGCTCTACCTTGTGCTCAAGAATCTTTTCACAGCTGGGGAAGCCTTGCCAGAAACGCTCCTCCCGGCTGCTTGGCTTCCAAGGAAACGTGATTGGGGAGCAGGCCAAGGTGGAATTGTTGGAGCTGGGATTTGGCTTTGTGGCTGGGGCTGGTTTCAGCGTATTCCTTCAGATTCCTGGATGCAAACTGAATAAGCCTCTCTCTCCTTTCTCCAAAGAATCTTCGGGTTCGTGGCCAAAAGCCAGAAGGAGTCGGAGAACCTCTGTCACCTGTTTGCGGAGTACGACACGGTGCAGCCGGCGTCGCTCGTCATCGACCTGCTCCGCCAGCTCCTGCCCGGCCCCTAGGGATGGGACCTTGGGATACCCAGGGCTGGCAGCTCCCCACACACTGCCAAGCTTCTCCTGCACCCCTGCTCCTGCTTCTGGGTTGCACTTTGGCAACAGCTCGTATTTTATACTCTTTCTGTTATGTACCATCACGTCAGAAGTCTCAGTTAGAGATTTTCAGCTCTGTTGGGATGAGATGCCCATGGGGAGCTGTGCTGGTCTGGGACAGAGCGGTGGGATGGGAGCTGTGCTCCCTGTGGAACCACAGCCCCTCACCTGGCACCCACTGGCTGCTTTGCAGGGCCCCAGTGCTCTGGCTGAGGTTCCTACCGGCCATGAGGGAGCCCTGTGCTTGGGGCATCCAGGCTGAGGCAGGTCATGGAGCTGAGCTGAGCTCCCACCATCAGGGACTCGGCCCTGACCCCCCCAGTGCCACAGGAGGGGAGGTCTGGGGCAGGCAGGGGGGACTCACCCCCCCTGAGTAGCACCAGAAGGCAGCTTTGCAAATCAAGCCGTATAAAAATCACCAAGTCCTGCTGGAAACCTGCTTCCCTCCAGGAGCGAGAGGCATCCGCGGGCAGGAATGTCAGAGCAGCGCATTTTTCCCTGTGCTGGGAAATTCTCCTGCCCTTTTTCGCAGAGCGGGGTTACGGGCGGGCTCGACCTCCCGGCACTGCGGAGAGCTGGGAAATAAACGGTGACATTTTCATGACAGTGAAACGTCGGGTTTTTTGGAAATGACTTGCCTGAATTTGGGCCAGCTGCTCGGATGACGTACATTGGCGCGGCCTCGAGGAAGCCGATGCCGCCGTGATCTGCAGCAGCTGAAGAGTCAGCTCGAGCTGCAGCTCGGAGCAGGGAGCGGCTCTGAGGCCACAACGCTGTCATCTTCCTCAGTTCTCACTTACCTGGGGCCTCTGCATCGGTTTTAGTTTCAGACCCTGTGTTATAAACCCACATGGGGTGTTTCCAATAAAGCAGTGGAGCGTTTATCCTGCACGGACACTGCAGGGATGTCAGCAATGGAGACGCTCTGCTCTGGAACAGCCAAGCAGATGCATCCATGGCAGAGGGTCCTTCTCCTCCAGCCAGCCTGTGGAGCGGGTCCAGCTGGAGCAGCTCTTGGCAATGACCATAACAGATATTGGGGTCACTGCGGGGGGAGCACATGGGGCTCTGGAGCTCTGGGAGGAGACTTGAACAGCTTCATGCCCCCCAGACCCTTTGCCCCAAGCTCTGCTCAGCCAGAGCCCAGCACTCCAGGTTGGGCTCTGGAGCCAGTCCCAGGGATCCTTGTGTTCCTGCCATTCCCACTGTGCTGCAGGGACCCAGCGGAACGTGGCACCCCAAGGTCATGGACAGCTCAGGCTGCAGGATCCCGGCCCTGGGACCTGAGGGCAGGTCCGGGACCCGCAGGGCTGGACCTTGTTGTGGTTATCACGATGCTGGTCAGGATCAGCACAAAGAGGATGGGAACCGGCAAAGGCTTTGGCTCCACGTGGTGCTTTGAGAGAGTCGCGCTGCCTCCCCGAGCCCGCCCAGCCCTGGCAGCCACCGGCACAGGGCCGGGGCGCGGGGCCGGGCTCGATGAGCTGTGCCAGCAGATTTCTGGGCTGTCTGTGTTGGCTGCGGCCCCGTCCCGGGGGTGTTTGCACAACCCCAGCACCGCGCGGCTCCGGTACCGGGGTCACCGGGCTGGCGCCAGCCCCGGATGGCACTGCCACTCCCCGAGCAGCCACCAGGAAGGGACCCGCTGAATTCCTGTGCCGGGAGCACGGGCAGCACGGGCTGCAGACGCCGGCAGACAGCCGAGCTGCTGTCGGGGGTGCCAGGAGCAGCGGGAGGGGTGCGGCCGCTGCAATTCCCGCGCCTGAGCATCTCCCAGCTGCATCCCGGCACCCTCCCAAAACGCCGGGCGGAGCCGGCGGTGCCCGGTGCGCCCCGGCGGCTGTGAATGTGCCGCGGGCTGCGGCTCGTCAAGGCCGGCGGCACTGCCTGGCCTCGACCCCGTGTCCCTGGAGCCGCCGGTGCCCGTCCCTGTCCGCCCCTGAACTTTGAAGCCTGTCCAGGGTCCCCTCCCAGCCTGGCGCCGTCTCCGGCCCCGCCGCTGCTCCGTGTCGCTGTGTGGGGCTGAGGGTGACAACCCTCCCGGTGGCACCGGTGGAGGCTGAGCTGGGAGTCACGAGGAGGCACGAAATCATTTGCTTCCCTGCTCGTGAAGCTCTTCCAGAGGCTTCGGGGCACCTGGGTTTCCAGGGCTGCTGAACCCCAAGCCCAGAGTGGGGACCAGGAGAGTCCTTGGGCAGGGGTGGCGAAAGGAACCTGTCCCCAAACCCGTGGGATCCCACAGACCCCTCTCTCCTGCTCTGCCTCCCCCCTCTCCCATTTTTTAAAACCATAAAAAATAAGACACACTCAACAGAAAAACATCAGATAACAGGAAATTAAATACAGTAATTACCTTTTTTTTTCTTTTTGAGGATACAAAGGTTCAAGTGTACTGTAAAAGGGTTGGTGCTACACGGGAGTCCAACGGGACGGGCTTGGCCCGAGAGGGATGGACAGGGACCCCTTGGGCACGGGGGGATGTGCTGGGGAGGGAGGACACTGGTACATGGTCGTGTGTAAATACAGCCCTAAACTACAGGAGAGACACTGCAAAACACTGGAGCCCTCCAAGCAGGACACAGAACGTGCACCGGCATTCCCAGGAACCCCCAAACTGGGAGAGGCTCCTCTGGATCTGCCCTGGTGTGGGCAGAGAGGGGTCAAGTGGCCAAGGCCACCTGGCTGGCACTGCCACCACACCCTGTGCCCCACAATGGGATTGGCACCATGACTGGGATGGTCCCCAGCAGGACCTCCTGCACCCTGGGACACCCATCCTTGGCACAGTGGCACTGGGGGGACTGGGAGAGAAGAGGGGCAGGGATCCCCCTCCCCACCAAGGACTGTCCTGGTAAATTGACTCTGTTTAGAAGTTGTGTGTGAGCAGAGCCACAGGCAGGCAGGGCAGGCAGGGATCCAGGGGGTGCCAGGGCAGGAAGGGATCCAGCAGGGCACAGGGACAACCAGGGCATCTGGGGGTTTGCCAGGGCAGGCAGGGATCTGGCAGGGCACAGGGGCAGGCAGAGGGGGGTCAGGAGGGCAGAGCGTGTTTCACTAAAACTGAAACATTTCGTTCCCATCAGGGGGCCTTGGCCAGGGCAAATCCACGTGGAAAACCAAAAGCTTCCACTGAGGCCATGGAGCTGGGGTAGGTCAGGAGGGGATCAGGAAAGTCCCCTCCATCTTTGGCACGCTTGCCATGGCATTTTTACATGAAAAAATTCCAGCCCAGCTTAAAGAAAAGAGAAGAAAAAAGAATAGCTGCAAAACCAGTGACAATTTCTCAGCTGAGAACTTTCTGCTGGTGAAATCTGCAGATCCCATCATGGAGACATTCCAGAACCCTTCCTGGTTTTGTCATGTTGGCCAAGTAGAGAAGACAGGAGCCATTGCCACAGTGCCCTGTCCCTGGGGTTGGAGAATTCCAGCTTCAGGGCCACATGGTCACTTTTGAGATCCCAACAATGGCATTTTTTAAATAGTGAAAAACAAAATTTGGGGAAGAAAGAAAAAACTCAGACCAAAAGCTCTTCCTGCTGGGATGCATTTCCTGGAGCTCCCTCGTCCCCCCCACCCTCCCCTTGGACTCAATGCCTGTGAGGACCATCCTCACCCCAGGGATGGGACAGGAGGAGACAGGATGGATGGGGGGCCATGTCCCTGCACGGGGAGCAGGATGGGGCTGGGCTGTGGGAATGGGGGGCTGCAGCAGGGAGGGGAAGGTCTCTTATTGCTCTGTGTGGCAGCGCTGCCCATCACACACACACACTTTGGGCGAGATGCAGCCTCTTGCTGCTGGGAGGGGCAGGATGAGGCACTTCTCCTGCTGCCCATGCAGAGGTCTGGCATGCAGAGCCTGCCACAGCACCCCACGGTGTCGGGGGCTGCCCAAGGGGCCGGGGTGAAAAACCAGGGGGGCACCACGGGGCACCGGCAGCAGCGTCGAGGGTGCTCCCCACCGGCTCCACCCGGGCAGGCCGACACCAGCCCCTGGGCAGCACGGTCCAAAGCTGTGTCCCCGTGGGATGGAGGGGCCGCTGGCGCGTGCCAGGATCCCCAGCAGTGGCGGGTAGTGGTCATGGCGCGGGTCGTGGGCAGCCCGTGGCGCAGAGCAGCACAGTCCAGAGTGACCCAGAGTGACACTTCTCCAGGTGACCCCAGGGTGCCCCGGCACCAGGGCGCTGCTCGGCGCTCACGGCCCCTCTCCTCCTGTCCCAGGCGGCCGCTCGGCGCGGAGCCGCCTCGGTCACGCTCACATACTGTCCGCCAGCTGGTGACAGTCCAAGTCCCCCTTCAGCTCCAGGAAGCCCGGCAGCTTCACCCCCGTCTTGCGGTCCACGCACCAGCACTTGCCGCGCTGCCCGTCCAGCGCTGGGTGACACTGCGGGGGACACGTTCAGTCAGGGACGCCCAGCCTGGCCCGCACAGCCCCATTCCCTCAGGCCCCCCGCGGTGGGTGAGAGCCCGTCCTACCTGCTTGGGGTGGAAGTTGCCGTTGCGGTCGCAGTTGGGGATGGGGATGACGTACAGGTCCTCGTGGGTGCGGGTCTGCGAGGCCGCCAGCCGCTCCAGCGCCCGGTGCAGCTCGCTCTGGCACGAGCCCTGTGCCTGCGGGAAGGAGGGGCTGAGCCCGCTGTGGGGCTGGCACGTGCCCCCACCCCCAGCACCGCTGGGACCCCGAGGCTGGAGCAGCCACCCTGCCCTCCCCAGCCCTGCCCCTGCTCACTATGGGCCGCGTGTCCTCGCGGTGGTGAGGGCTGCCGCTGCTGCGCATCTTGTTGCCGTTGTTGACCCTCTTCGCCTGCTGCTTCTGCAGGCACTTGCGGTCATGGATGCTGCAGGGGCTGAAGCTGTTGTTGGGGTGGTCGATCTCCTCCTTCTCTGCAGGAACACAGACCGAGGGGGCTCAGTGCCGCTTGCACCCCCAGCAAGAACAAGCAGCTGGTGCTGCCAGACCCCACATCACGCTCTCCTGTACCCAGAGGTGTCACCCCTGGCCCTGGGTCCCCTTCTGCCCCTGCCACTGCACTGGTCTGAGCTCCCTGCAGCACTGGGAAAGACACCTGGGGTTTTTCCCAACTCATTAGCCGTGATTAGCAACTTGTTGCCATGTGTCTGTTATTGTAGGGTTGCAAATGCACAATGTGCTGGGTCTGGTTGTGTCCCCACCAGCCACGTGCCACCAGGCACTGGGTGCTCACCCACAGCACCGGAGCCACGGGGCTGGAAGGTGACCCTGCACAGCCAGAGAGCCCCAGGAAGCCCCATCATGCCCCCAAAAATCTGCCTTTGAGGAGCTGCAGTGGGAATGGGGCACTGGGGTGGTGCTGAGCCCCCGCCAGGCCCGGGGCGGCACCGGGCGCCGCAGCCGGGAGTGGAGCCGTGCTCTGCCGCGGGGCACGGCCCCCGCCAAGACATGAAAGAAGAAATTCCTGGAATAAGAAAGTTAATCTCCCACGGGGCCGATCCCGAAAGGCGGCGCTTGGCATCCCCTCCTGCGCCAGGAGCGCAGCCAAGCTCCGGCCCAGATGTTGGCAGCTGGACGGAGCGTCATGAGACGAGTGCTCAGCGAGATTGAGCTTTCAGAAAGCTGCCGGTTCCTCCAGCCTGGGGCTGTAGTTTACACTCTGTGGAGGGAAGACACCCCAGTAGCTGAGCCCCACCTGTGCTTAGAGCTGTGTCAGGCACAGCTCGAGCAGAGTTTTGTCCCCCAGCCCACATGGGCTGTCCAGGGAAGCAGCCAGGGCTCCCTGCCCGAGGTTATCCTGGGGTTGGGCTTAAATGAGTCAATATTGTGACTGGCAGCAGGGAAAACCTTCCCAAACCAGGCAGGGAGGAGTCACCATCAGAGGTGGCACCCAGGGGCTCACAGCACCAGGACAGGGGCTGCCTGGTGATGCCCAGCACTGGCCCTTCCCACAGGCTGGCAGTGGGGTCAGAGCCACAGCCTCCTGCCCACCACATCCTGCCAGGATCCAGGCTCTGGTCTCCCTTTGGCACCTCACACCGCAGCTCCTGCAGTGCAGGGCTCCTGGCCCAGCTCCGGGGGGCCTGGTTAAAGTCCACAGCAAAGCCCCAACCAAAGCCCCCTCCCTCGTGGGTGTTATTTGCTTTTTGCTTAATCTGTCCACTTTTTCCAGGAAATGGCTCATGCCCTTGAAATTTGAAACACGAACCCAAAGAGACCCAAAGGACCCTGCACAGAGCAGTGCCAGCGCCAGCTCTGACGGCACCAGCCACGGGGCCGTGGCGCAATGTGGGCGCTGGTGGTAGTGCCCAGCCGGGGGCACAGGCAGGGATGTTCCTTCCTTCCTTCCTCTGCATTTCCATGGGGACACAGAGGGAAGAGCTGGGCAGAAGATTTGGCACCGGTGGGGACCACTGTGCTGAATTCCTGGCACCTCCACGCGCTTCTCCCACACCGTGGAAAGGCAGGATGGGGAGGCACCGGCACTGCCTGCTCTGCCCCCACAGGGGAAGCCCTCACCGATCCCAGCGCAGCCAAACCCCCCTCCTTCCCCCACCAGACGCCTCCAGAGCATCAAATCTCCCAGCTTAAATAAAACCAGATGCCAATAACATTTTCATAAGGTCACATGAAAATCCGGTGCCTCCAGGCAGTGAGACGGCTCCTGCCAGCGCTCGGGACCCACAGTCCCCAGCTCACACCCTCCAGCATTCCTCCCTGCCACAGGGATGTCTGCTGTCCTTGGGGTGACTGTCCCCTTGCTAAGTGACACACAGCAGCTCAGGGAACCTCCTGCCTGCCTGGGACCAGAAAAGTCCTCACACTCAGCAAAAAGACATGGGAAAAGCAACGTGTGTGGAACCCAGAGCTGCCACCCGCCACCCTGCCCTGGCGCAGCCCAACCTGCCACCCCATGCATGGCCACCACCACCCTGGAGGGAGTGAGAGCAGGGAGGGCCCTCTGCTTGACCGAGCTTTTTAACACTCAGACATGAGTCTGCCCAGTTTGGGATGGAAGTGGGTGCCAAGGGGATGGGAAGGGGTGCTGCCCTCACTGGCCATGCAGACCTGCCACCCATTCCGGCAGGAGGAGGAGGAGGATTCCTGCCCAGACTGTGGACCGGGGGACACAAACGAGTCATTCAGCATCGCCTTCAATTAACGGGAGCTGCAAATGAGGTTGGTCACGTGCCGAACTTGTGATTCACAGCACTGAGCCCCAGGGAGCGATGAAGGGCTCCGGCTCCACCGCGCGGATCCTGTGGGAGCAGAGCCTGGGGCAGCCAAAGAAATCCCGGGACTGTGTCTGTGTGTCCCTGGGGAGGTACAAGTGTCAGAGCTCCATCCCCACTCCCCACTGTGCCACCAGCCCCCTGTGAAGGGTCCCACGTGCCTCAAGGGCCAGAAGGGACACATCCACGTGTCTGTGGCCAGAAATGGGGGTGCCAGGGGCACCGGCACCCGACACCTCCTGCCCCCTGGGCACCTCCTGCCTCAGTGTCCAATGTGGGCCCCATGGAAGGGAGGTTGGGATGCAGGAGAGGCAGTGAGGGATTCCCCACAGATGATTTCTTGCCAGGAGCAGCACCCAGCCTGGAGAAACCAGAGCATGGAGGAACCTCCATCCCAGGGAACAGGTGGGTCATGGCAAACAGCCTCGCCTGCCTCAACCCAGCCTGCCCTCCCTGCCCACTGTCCAGACAGGGCTCAGCCACCGCTGTCCCTCCTGGTCACTGCACGCAGGAAGGAAACGGGATCTGTCCCAGCTTGCAGAGACCACACGGGATGAACACAGCTCCCATGGGGTCAGGTTTTCCCAGACATAACCATTTACCCAGCATTAAATCACTCGTCATGTGTGCTGGGGAATACGTCCTCACCTCCTCCTGGCTGCCACACACGGCTCAGTCACCACCAGCCAGCAGCTGTGCCGGAAAGCCATGGCTGGGACCTCCTGGAGCCGGCCCTGGCACAGGGCTCTGGCTGAGGAGTGGGATTCTGGAGCCAGACAGAAGCTGGCAGGGCTGGGAGAGGGAGGCAGAGACAGGGCATGACACAAAGTGCCCAGACCCACAACCACGGGAGAGGGTCTCGGGTCAGGAGAGCAGCCACCCACTCCCTCGCTTCCTGAGAGTCCCGTCCCGTGGGTGCCGTGGGTCCTGGCTGAGCAGAGAGAGGCTCTTTGCTGCCGCTGGAGCCGGGAGCCATGTCCAACCCTTCGGAAAGCCCAGCCTCAGCCCAGCCCCCCGATCCCAGCCTCTTCCCTGGAATGCGGAGCCCCCCGGACAGAGCCCCCAGACAAAGTGTTTACTGTACGAGCTGTGCGTTAACCGCTTCCCGGCCGATGGGAACGCTCCCCGGCACCCGCTCAGCCCCGGGGCCACGGCCACGGCTGGGGGCACCTGCTCCCTACGGCCCTGCCCCCAAACTGGCATCAATTCCCTTCTGCTGATCCCGAGGGGACCCATCAGAGGCCAGGGTGCCCTCGCTGTGCGGAGCCTGCAGCCCCCAGCCCCACGCTCCCACTGGCTCTGGGCTGCTGGAGTGGGTCGGGGGCCCACAGCTGGGTGTCCCACCAGAGCGAGCAATGTGCTGTGGGTGTCCTGCCCACGACCCACCGGGCTGTCCTGGACACAGGGGTTCCCAGTGCCCTCTCGCCCGTCCTGCCACCTGTGACACCGCCGGCTATCACCATGCCCGGTGGGTGACCCGGCTCCCACGGCCACCCACCCATCCCCAGCCAGGCCAAAACACCGCGGGAAGGAAGGGAAAAAATGCGAGTCTGTTTCCTAAAGGCTCTGGGAAAAAATGTTGCATTACACGGGGCACAGCCAAAACCAACAGGGCTTGGCAGCGCGGCGCAGCCCCGGGCCAGGGAGCCCAGACAGCTCCTGCAGGATGTGGGATGAGGACAGACAGGCAGGGCAGGGGGGCTCTGCAATGGACCCCATGCCAAGCACTCCCGGAGAGCTTCTGTCTCTGCATGGGGGCAGCTGGAGGGGCCCATCCACAAAGGGCACTTCTCACACTGGGGATACTGGCAGAGCTGCCATGGGCCAGCCGTGCAAGGAGGGAACAGAGCTGGGATCCAGCCCTCAGGGTGGATAGGGACAGACATTGTTCTAGTCCCTTCTGCCCCACAGGGAGCTCCAGGTGACCCATCATGGGGACCCAGGGCCAGGCCAACTCATGGATCATCCTGTAGCAGGATGTTGCTCCCCAGCTTCAGGGGACACGGTCCTGGTCCATGGATATGAAAGGGGAATACAGCACCCAGACCCACGGATGGACCAGGTCCCCACATTCATCCCCCAGGAGAGGCTCCATTCCCACAGTGCGACCTGCACAGCTCTGGGCTGGGCTCCCAAAGTCAGCTCCACTGCTGGTCCCCAAGACCCTGCCCAAGCACCAGGGGGATGGCAGGGGGCCACAATCAACACCTGCAAGAGGGTCCTCGGGCAGAATGTACAGGAAGCAGCTCCTCCAGCTTGGCCCTGCCTGCACCCCACTGCCCTGCCCAGACAGACACAGCTTCTGGCAGAGCCCAGCACAGCACCCGGCCGGACCTGCCTGCGGGGGAAGCAGGTGCCCCGCGGCCTCTTTCCTGTTTCCTCCCGGCAGTGCAGGCAGAGCTCCCGGCAGCATCCCAGGGAAGGGGCAGCACAGGGGCCTCCGTGCAACAGGAGCTTCCCCAGCAGCTGGGATGTGTCCCCAGGGGCCGTGGGTGTCTGCAGGACTCCAGGCTGCCCCTCAGTCCAGGGGCACAGCAGGTGGTTCCCCACTCCAGCACGTGTAGTGCCACTTGGCCATGGCACTGCTGTGTCCACAGTGGGTAAGGATGGCACAAACCTCAGCCACGTGTAACGGGTCTCCTGCAGCCCTGCTCCCTCCCTGGAACACGTTCCCTGCATTCCCATCCCTGGGCTGTCCTATCCCATCCTCAGGCTCATGGAATGGTTTGGGTTGGAAGAGACTTTAAAGACCACTTACTAGACCAGGTTGCTCCAAGCCCCGTCCCCCCTGGCTTTGAACACTTCCAGGGATGGGACATCCAGAAATACTCTGGGCAACCTGTGCCAGTGCCTCTCCACCCTCACAGGGAAGAATTTCCTCCTATCGTCTAATTTAAATCTCCCCTTCTTAGTTTAAAACCCTTCCCCTTGCCCTGTAACAATCTACCCGTGTAAAAGTCACTCTTCACAATTTTTGCAAGCTCCCTCTAAGTATGGAAAGGTCCCTGACGAGCCCCGTCCCGCAGCCCCAGCTCTCGTCGAGTGAGCAGGGAGCGAACTGGTGCCAACGGGGGGTTGTGCCACTACCACTGTCAGGGAGAAGGACCCCCGGGCGCCCACCCCGGGCACACACCCAGTGCCGCCGCTCCGCCGCCTCACCTGGGGGGTGGAGGCTCTCCTGGATGGCCTCGATGTCGGCCAGGTCGGTGCAGATGCCCTGGCCGTGCATGAGGGTGCGGAGGGGCCGCGGCTCTCCGCGGGGCGGGTAGCAGCGCAGCCCCGCTCCGCAGCGCGCGGTGTAGACGCCGCAGGCGGTGCCGCGGGGCAGAGCGCAGGTCGCGCAGCACCCGCAGCCCGGCTCCCGCACCAGCTCCGCGCAGCCCTGCGGCGCCTTGCACCGCGCCAGCCGCTCCTCCGAGCACGGCGGGCACTGGATCGCCTCCTCGCCGCCGCCCGGCCGCGCCGCCGCCGCCAGCAGCGCCAGCACCACCGGCAGCACCGGCAGCGCCGGCAGCCCCGGCCCCGGGCGCATGGCGGCCCTGCTCCGGCCCCGCTCCGCGGCGCTCGGCTGGCGGCGGGCGCGGGGCGGCGGCGGCCGCTTTATGCGGCTTTATGCGGCCCCTGGCCACACCTCCCGCCGCCGCCACCGGGGCCACCGGCGGGGCCGCCCCCGCCGCCACCGGGGACCCACCGGGCAGCGACGCTCCCCGCGGGCGGCGGCCACACCGGCACCGGCACCGCCGGCGGCTTCACCAGCGGGGCCACCGGCGGGGCGGCTCCGGCGCCGGGCAGAGCGGAGAGCCGGCCCGGAGCCCCCCGGCCCCCTCCCCTTCTCAGACCACCCGCCGCCCCGACACTCTGCCCGGTCCCGACAGCAACCGGGATAAACTGGGGACACCCACACACCGTGCGGGGCTGCACCGCGGGGATGCGGGCAAGATCCCCGGGGTGGGCTCCGGTCGCGGCGGGCCCCGGCGGAAGCGAAAGCGTTGCTGGCAACGGCGCATCCCGGGCGGCTCGGCCCCGGTCTGCCCGGGACGGGTCCCCGCGCCCACCTGCCCCCAATTCCCCGCACCCGCGCCCCCCGCGGCCCCCGCCCCGCACAGCCCGGGATAGGTTGAAGGCTGCCGGCACCTAGTGGCTACTCGGGAAAAGCGGGAGCGGGCGGGACCCCAGGGAGTCCCGGCATCCCCCCGGGACCCCGGTCCCGGCAGTCCCCGCAGCACCGGGCGGGGTCGGCACGGCGGGAGGGGGGAAGATGGCGAGGAGCGGCCACTGTTCCCGGGGGAAAGGTCCCCGAGCATCACCCGGGGCTGGTGACCCCCAAGCTGCGCCCTGGGGCATCTCAGCCAGCACCGGGCTTGGAGCACCCCTCTGGGTGCGGCAAGGGAGTCGTGGGCACTGCAGGGAGGTCTTGGACATGGCGGGGGGGCCCTGTGGGACCCTGGTGTGGGGGTCAGTGTAGTGGGTGGGACAAGAGGAGCAGAGCTGCCTGGAATGCAGGGCCTGGGCTGAGAACCCCCAGCTTGTGTCATGGGTGAGCACATCTAATGCTCAAACTGGTGTCCTTGAGGCTTGAGTGCCAGCACGGGTGGCATTGGTGGCACTGCCACAGGTGGTCTCAGGAGAATCTTGTCTCTCCTGTGCAGGTGAGCTGGACAGCACCAAGGGCAGGCAGGACAGGGACAGGCAGGGTCTGTGTCCCCCACTCTCCCCAGCCCCATTTCTCCCATCTCAGCCCTGGCAGGGGCTTCATAAGGCATTGTCACATGGTGCTGTTCTGAGCCCCTGCCCTTCCTGGCACTGTGGCCATGACTTGGGGCAGAGGCAGCAGCCTTGACTCGGTGTCCCAGTAGGGACCAAACCCAAACAGGTGCCTGGCCCTGCTCGGGCTGCATCACCTTATCAGGCCTTGGCAGCACTGCGCGCCCACTGGGGAGGCTGTTGTGTCTGCGGGCAGAGGCAGTGCCAGCGTCCCCTCTCTGCCCAGGCACTGCTCCTCCAGGTCCCTGTCCCAGCACCATCCTGTGGGACAGAGCGGGGCTGGGCTGGTGCCCCCCACAGCCGTGCTGCCCCCATCCCAACCACAGCCCTGTGGCCTCGGAGGGGGCTCAGTGCTGGTGTTTGGTGCTCGGTGCAGCCCAGCTCCCCATGACAGGACAGCCCCGGTGCTCAGCACCCGCCGGATGCGGTCCGTGGGGTGCGGGTGCCGGGGCGGGCGAGGGGCGTGTCAGGGGCCGCTGTGATAACTGCGGGCGCCGTGCCGGGGCCGAGGGCGCAGACGGAGCAGGGAGCGGGAAGAGCCAAGGACCCCCATCCTGGGCGGCAGCCAAGCCCAGAGGCAGCGCCATGGGGTCCAGCAGCCCCCGGGGCCTCCTCTGCACCCTCTGCATCCTCCTGGTGCTGGCTGGGCACCTGTGCCCTGCCACGGCCCAGTGGTGGGCTGTGGGCTCGGAGGACACCACCCCGGATCCCGGCACCAGCCTCAGCACCCCCACCCTGGATGGGCAGGAAGGTAGGAAGGGTGCGATGGGGGCAGCACCCCAGATTCCTGCACCCCAGCATGGAGGGGGCACTTGGAGGGTGGAGGGTGAGGTGTGGGGTGCTGGGGTCTGGGGCTGCTGGTGGCACTGTTGTGGCAATGCTGGGTGGCAGGTGCTGGGAACTGGGAGTGCTGTGCCACCCCAGTCCCCCTCCAGCCTTGATGCCTTTTGCCCCATCACCTCTTCTCTCCTGCAGATGCAGAGACCAGCATGGAGCCCATGGGGAAGGTGCTGCTGAGCAAACCCCCTCTGGTGACGGCCCCCAGACGCCGGGACCACCTCGCCAGGGGGCCAGCGAAAGGGCCAGGCCATGCCCCACCACGCACACGAGGCCAGGTGCCTTTCCCTGGGCAACATCCCCCCTCTGGCTCCTCCAGCCCTCCCAAAACTCCCCAGCTGCTGCCGGGCTCCTTGCCATGTCCTTCCCCTCGTCTGTGCCCAGCCCGGGCACTGTGCCCTGCTCTGGCCCCAAACGTAACTCCCCTTGGAAAGGAGCCACAGCAGCTCCTGGTGTCCCCCCACATGGCACAGCCCCACAACAGCACTGGGGCTGGGCCCCCACCCCAGGCTGGGGGCAGCCACGACTGCAGGAGTGTCCCACCTGCCCTCCAGGACCCCCTCAAATCCTGTACTGAGCACTCCCTGTCCACCCCAGCAGCGCCGACCCACGGCCGCCCCAGAGATCTTCGAGGGAAGCGCGGTGGAAGAGGAGTTCCTGCAGATCCAGGTGGTGGAGGGGTCCTGGTCCCCAGGGGGATGAGAGGGGCAGCCTGAGATGGGCACCCTGGCGAGTGGGAGGGACTGGCAGGGAGGGACAGGGATGGTGCTCGGGGGTCTCACACTCAGCCCTTCCTCTCCTCCACACAGACCACAGCAAAGGGGCTGTCCCGGGGGGTGCCCCCGGCCCCAGAGACGGACCCTGCCCTCCAGGTGAGGGGTGGGCACAGGGCACCACTGTTGGACCCAGCAGCCGGGCTCAGGTCCCTCAGCCCACCTCTCTCTCTCTCTCTCTCCAGGTGCAAAACACCTCCGGCTGTGTCTGCCCCGCACGCCCTGGCCCTCCCGGCCCAAAGGTGGGGTGATCCTCCCCAGGGAGGGGAAGGGCTGTGAGGGGACCCACAGGGACACGCTGCGAGATGCTCTTTTGTCTGTGCAAAACCCTTTGTGCTCGGGATTTGGACTGTGGCTCTGGGGTCTGAGTTGGGGGGGTGACTCAGGTGGCCACCGGCAGGGGGGCCGCATGTCCCCATGGTGGGCTCGAGTGGAGGGAAGTTCCAGGAGCCCGGAGCCACGGTCTGTCTTTCCTCAACAGGGAGAGAGAGGTGACCGAGGGTACCCGGGAGAGAGAGGCCAGCCCGGAATCTCAGGGGACAGAGGGAAGCCTGGCAGCCCAGGACAGCCAGGTCACCAGGGTCCCCGGGGCCCCCCGGGTCCTCCGGGACCCCCGGGACCCCCAGGCACCTGGGGAGCCAGGAGCCCACCCGCGCCCGCCGCCCTCCCCGAGGGATCGGAGAACGAGGTGAGCCCCGGGGCGGGGACACGGGCGGGTGATGCCGGCGCTGCCCGCGGTGTCACTGGCGGGGGACAGGGAGGGCTGGGACACGCGGCCGTGCGGGTGGGCAGCCCAGGGGAGGGGGCCAGGGCATGGGACACTGTGATTCACTGATCCTGCTCTTTCTCCTCTCCCTCCAACCTGACGAGCAGCTGAGACCCTCCAGCCCTGTGGGAAACCCAGGACCCCCAGGCCCCCCGGGCTGCCCGGCATGCCCGGACCCCCAGGCTACCCAGGCCATGATGGCCCCCCGGGAGTCCCTGGGCGGGAGGGAAAGCCAGGACCCCCTGGCCCTCCAGGGGCTGTGGGACCACCCGGTTTCCCTGGGGCTGAAGGAACTCCAGGGTCTCCAGGCTCGGCTGGGCCAGATGGACCCCCAGGGGCACCAGGGCTCCCAGGGCCTCAGGGTCCCCCCGGGGTGCCAGGGCACGAAGGACCCCCCGGTCCCACAGGACCTGCATCACTCCCTGGCAAACCAGGGCTCCGAGGGGAGCCAGGATTCCCAGGACTAAAGGTAAGGGGGTCCCAGCCCAGCCCATCTTCAGCCCTGGGGTGGGACAGGGCGCTTGGGCTCACCAGCCCCTTGCCCTGCCCTAGGGGGAGCAGCCCCCAGCACTGAGCCCTCGGAGGGCTCTGGGGCAGCCCCAGCCCTGCCACTGTGGGGCCTGGGGGCACATGGGGGCTCAGCCCTCACACTCACATCTTGTGCTGTGCGCCCACAGGGCGAGAAGGGCGAGTATGGACTGCCAGGCATGCCGGGAAGCCCTGGCCGGACCGGAGAGACAGGACCCCCCGGCATGCCCGGTCCCATGGGACCTCCAGGACCACCAGGGGACTACAGGGTGAGTAGGGGCCCTGGGCTGCAGGTGCTGGGGTAGGGGCACCCCACGCTCATCCCAGTGTCCTCTCCTTGCAGTGTGACTTGCGCCACGCAGGGCACCGCGGGTTGGCCGGGCCGGGCCCCAAGGTGAGCTGGGCAGTGGGCACTGCAGGCGGGGGTCCTGGCAGGGGGTGGGTGGTACCCTGGGGCATGAGGCACAGCACGGTGAGGGGGCCTGGGGGGCCAGGGGACCCTCAGAGCCGGGTGCTGACAGGATCTCTCACTTTCCTTCCAGGGAGAAAAGGGCGACCCTGGAGAGCCGGTTTGTAGCCATGAGCAGTGGCGGCGGGGAGGACTGGCTGGGGGGTGTCCCCGTCCCCACACCTGAGTGTGCACCCCAGAGTCCCCAGTGATGCCTCTGCTCCTCCAACACCCTGGAGGCTGCACCAGAGACCCCAAATGGGGCTGAGGTGCAGGGTGGGGGGCGAGTGACACCATCCCCTGCAGCACATGTGAACACACACAGGCACACACGTGTGCATACGTGTGCCAGCATGCAGTGCACCCACACATGCACCCAGCATCCCCTGTCCCCAGCAGCCAGCTCAGGCTCTAATCCTGCCTCTCTCTTTGCCTCACCCAGGGGTGCTGCTACGGGGAACAGGGGTGCAAACCAGGCCACCTCCCCTTCCCCAGCACAGGCAGCCAGCCTGGCTCCTGGGGGTCCATCAGAGGGTACCAGACGGTGAGTGCTCAGTGGGAGGGACCCCAGCCCGGCCTTGGGGACATGGTTCACCCCACCAGCAACCTCACAGGGCCCGTAGTCCCAGCTGGAGTGGAGGAATGAAGGATGGAGATCAGTCCCAGTCTTTTCCCTCTGTCTCTACAGGACAACAAAGAGGAACCAGAGATTTACGGAGCGATCATCCCTCATGTGAGAGTCACTGCTGGGTCTGCGCTACCCCAGCCTGGGGACGTTCAGCCCTGGGAGGGGACGGGAGCAGGAAGGATGAGGGACAGCAGTGGGGTGTTTTACAGCTGCCCTACAAAAGGCAGCACCAGAACAGCCTAATCTCCACACTGCTCTCCTGCAGGGTCTTCGAGGTCCCCCCGGGCACCCCGGCCCCCCTGGACCCCCAGGCCCCCCTGGACCCCCAGGTTTCCTCTACCTCAACGTAAGGCCCAGCGCGGGTGTGCACACACCTGTGTCACAGCACACGCACGTGTGGGTGTGCACAGCACCAGGGCCCCCCCAAACCCGCCTGCCTTTGCTTCCAGAGGGTGTACCCAGTCCGTGCCCAGCCCCCCTGCAAGCAGCCGGTAAGCCATGGCCTCCCTGTCCCTGAGAGTCCCCATCCCCTCCCTGTGCACCAGGAAGGGTGTCCCTGTCCTTGCACCCAGCAGGAGTAACAGGCCCCGTTTGCCTTCACAGGCGGCCCCAGACCCAGGTTGGGCAGCAGGTGAGGGTGTTTCCCAGGTGTTTCAGGGGCTCCCCGTGTCCCTGCAGGGCCAGCTCCCACGGGAGCACCCAGGCCCTGTGCTGGGACACCTTGTGACCCTCCACCTTCTCCGGGCTCTCCAGATGCCCAGGCCCCTCAGACGGAGCCGTCGGAGTGCCGCACTGATCCCCGGGTGTGTCCTGGCTGCTGACCATGGGTGAGCCCCCCCCCAGCTCTCCCAGACCCCACAGCAGGGCCCTGACTCTCTGTGTCCCCCCAGCGCCAGACGTGGGTCTTCAAGTCCAAGGGGCTGATGGTGAAGGCGAGCGGTGCCGTGCCCGAGGGGAGCCTGGTCTATGTGCAGGAAGGGAGCAGCGCCTTCCTCCGGACCCCCGCTGGCTGGAGCCGCCTCCTGGTACCGTGGGGGTCCCTCGAGGGGCTGGGGGGGGCAGGATCCAAGGGTGGATTTGGTGCTGGGGCAGCAGACCCCTGGGAAGGAGCAGGTTTCCCTTAACGTGTCCCTCTGCTCGTGTCATGGAGCAGTTGGAGGATCCGCAGTCGGTCTTGGCTGGTGACGACCCTTCTGCCTCCACCCCACGGTACCAGGTGAGGGGGATGTGAGCAGATGTGGGGTCTGCTCATGTCCCTGCAGGGAGACAGAGACCTCCTCTGCCTGCTGTGGGGGACAGACAGCATGGGACTGTCCTCTCCCTCTTCCTCCCCCTCTCCTCTCCTCTCCATCCAGGAGGCAAAGCGGGTGCAGACACGAGGTCCCGACACAGTGTCACCTGTGCAGTCCCCAATGGACTCTCTGGTGAGCCCTGCTCAGGGTCCAGCCATGCTGGGAGGGACGTGCCATGGGGATGGGCTGCATGTCAGCAGGGCAATGCCAGCCTGGCATGCCCAGAGCCTGGGATCTTGTTGGTCTGGGCAGGGTGTCACCCACCCATGGCACAGGGATGGATGTCCCCAGACTGACCTGAGCTCTGTTATTCCAGGTCAAGAAGGAGGAGGGACAAGGGCTGCCCCAAATCCAGCCAACCACCACCGCGCCACGGATCCCATCCGTAAGGAATGCCTGGCCCTGGGGGTGGGAGAAGAGGTGGAGGTGCCCAGGAGCCTCGCACTCCCCGGGAAGGGGGGAGCAGAGCCCCAACACCTCCTGGCTGCCCCCCAGCTCCGCCTGGCTGCCCTCAACGTGCCCCTCTCCGGCGACATGAGCGGGATCCGGGGGGCCGACCTGCAGTGCTACCGGCAGTCCCAGGAGGCCGGGCTGTACGGCACCTTCCGGGCCTTCCTGTCGGCCCCCAGCCAGGACCTGGTGTCCATCGTCAAGAGGACAGACAGGACCCTCCCCATCGTCAACCTGAAGGCAGGTACCCCTGTCCCATGGAGGAGCTGCAGGTGGAGCCCCCAGTGAGCTGTGGTGGGTGTGGGACCCCCGCCCAGTCCTGCTCTGGGGCTGCTGCACCCCGGCCTTGCTCGGTGCTTTTGGGGAGCCACCGGAACTGAGAGCGAGTTGCTGCCCACATGTGGAGGGGACAAGGGCACCCCTCGGCCCCTGGCTCAGCACCGCGGCTCGTGCCCACAGGGGCAGCTGCTGGCCAAGTCCTGGAGCTCCCTCTTCGAGGGTCAACCCGGTGCCACCCCAGGGAGTCCCATCTACTCCTTCAACGGGCGCAACATCCTGACGGATCCCCTCTGGTGAGTCCTGGACGGTTCCTCCCCGGCGTGGGAGAGCAAAGAGCTGGGGGTGCCTCCCTGCTCAAGCACAGGAGCAAAGATCTGAGGTGCCCCGCTGACCCTGTGCCCACCCGCAGGCCCCACCGGCTGGCCTGGCACGGCTCCACGGCACGGGGGGGCCACGCCCGGCGCCGGGACTGCCAGGGCTGGCGCGGCTCCGGCGCGGCCGAGGGCATGGCCACCCCCCTGGGCCAGGGCCGGCTGCTGGCCGGGCACCGGCACAACTGCTCCACGCCCCTGGCCGTGCTCTGCGTCGAGGTGGCCTTTCCCTACCGGCACATGTGGTGACAGCGGGGACACCGGGACACGTGCCCCTGGGAGCACTGTGGGCAGCACTGGAGCTGTGCAGGAGCACTGAGGGGATACCAGCCCCACAGCCAGGCTGTGCCATCCCCACCTGTGCCATCCCATGGACCCCCGTGCCAGGCTGTGCCCACAGCCTCCCTTGCACCCACAGTGGTGCCACCCTGAAATAAAGATGCAAACGTTTTTTAAGACACCGTGCTCTGCTCTGGGGGGGAGACATTGGCTGTCCGCAGGGAGAGGCCAGGGGTCATGTGGCCACCTGGGAATGGGAAAAGGGTCTGGAGAAGGGGCTGGGAGTGGGCTTCAGTCCCCTTGGGATTGGCAGAAACTGGGAGGGGACACTGTGGGGACAGGGATGGCACAGGGCTCCATGCCACTGAGGTCAGTGTTATGCCCCCAGAAGCTGAGTGTATCCCATCCCTATGCGTCCCAGCGTGTCCACGGGACTGCCCAGCATATCCCAGTGATTCCTGGCGTGTCCCAGTGGGTCCCCAGGGCCTGTTCCCTGTATGCCAGTGATTCAACTCGCACTGTGTCCCAGTGTATCCCCGAGGGTCCGTGGGGCTCGCCCAGCGTGTCCCGGTGGACCCCAGTACACCCCAGCGTGTCCCAGTGTGTCCCAGTCCATCCCAGTTCATCCATCCCAGTTCATCCCAGTCCGTCCCACCCCCAAACATAACGGCCCTCATTGTGCCCGCCCCTTCGCTCCCCCATTGGCCGGTCCCGCTGCCCGTCCCGCCGCTCTCCCTCCCGAGTGGCCGGTTTGAATGCGCGGAGCGGCCTCTGATTGGCCAGAGGGAAGGCGGGCCCTCCCGCCGTGTTCCCGCCCCCGCGCTGTGATTGGCGGTCCGCGGGACCCCCGCGGGCGGGGATTGGCGGAGCGTTTCGGCGGGACGAGCGGAGGTTTGAAGGGGTCGTTAGCGCCGCCATCGCCGCCTCAGCCGCCTCAGCCTCCTCAGCCGTCACAGCCACCGCCGCCGCCACCGTCATGGAGATCGCGCAGCCCCTGTCGGCCCTCCGGGTGCGTCCGGCGACCGCCGCCGACCCCTATTCTCGACCCCCGACTCCACGGACCTTCGGGTTCCCTCGCCCTGTCGTCCCCCTCGGTGTTCCGGGCTCCACCGTAGCTCCTACCGGACCACCTCAGAGTCTCCCTCAGCCGCCCTCAGAGTCTCCGTGGCCCCCTCAGGGTCTCCCTGGGCCCCCTCAGGGTGATGCCGGGCCCTTATCAAGGTCTTCCCGGGCCCCTTTCAGCCGTCGCCGAACCCTCCTCAGGGTCTCACCGAGCCTTCCGCAACTTCCCCCCCACACACCTCCCCCCGGCCCCTGGGCTGCCTCAGGTTCTCCCCAAAACCCCCTCAGGCTCTCCCCGAGTCCCTCTCGCCGCCGCTTCCCACAGCCCTCCGTTCCTCTGCGATTTCCCCCATCGCCTTTTTCTCTTCTCTCTCCCCTGGCCTGACCCCTCGTTTTCCCCCCGCTACAGCCCGCGGACGAGAACGCCCGGACGCAAAAGGCCGATGGCCCCAAGAAGCTCTCAGTGGAGCACATCTACCAAAAGAAGACGCAGCTGGAGCACATCCTGCTCCGGCCAGACACCTACATCGGCTCCGTGGAGCTGGTCAGCCAGGTAAGGGGCAGGGGGACGCGGGGCTGAGCCCCCCGAACACCTCAGGGCAGGCGGAATGTGGGGGGGGGCATTAACGGCTGTTTACAAAGCACAAAACACCTACTTATCAATCACAAAACATCTGCTTTACAAACGGGTGGCACGGAAGAGAGTCTGGGCACTTACCAAGTTCTTCCTTTTTTCCCAGCAAATGTGGGTTTTTGATGAAGACGTCGGCCTCAACTGCAGAAATGTGACCTTTGTGCCTGGCTTGTACAAAATCTTTGATGAGATTCTGGGTAAGGTGGCAGATCTCCCGAGTCAGTGAGTGGCATGTTATTAGCGGGGATTGAATGCCTACGAAACTGGGTCTAAACAGAAGAACTTATCAAGAACTCATTAGCCCTGCTTAACAGCAAACCATTCATAGGAAACAAAACAAAAAAAAAACACCCCAATTTCAAAAATCCAATTACAAACCTGATTTCATTCAGTCCAGACCTCTGTTAACAGTTGGACTCGATGCTCTCACAGAGGTCATTTCCAACCTGAATAAATCTGTGATAACTTATAGAACTCCTCTTTGCAATTCGCAAGATATTTTTGTGCCAAGATGATTATTGGTGACACTGCATTGATTTTTGTGTTCATTCTACTGAAACACTTCAGAGTTCTGTAATAAATGTAATAAAGTAACAATATTCTCTTTCCAGTCAACGCCGCAGACAACAAGCAGAGGGATAAAAACATGTCGTGCATTAAAGTCACAATTGATGTGTAAGTTTTATTTCATTGTTGTTTGTTGCCTCCAGCTGTTCTGCAGAGCTGGGGTGGCACTGCAGGGGCTGATCTGAGTTACCCCAAATTTAATCCACTAGCTGGGACAGCCTTTCTCTTTACTTTTTCGTTGCTGCTGTTTTCCATCTCTCCCTGCCTTTTCATCCTGATTGAGCACAGGCAGAGGGTTTTGTGTGTGTCCATTTCAGAGCAGATCTGGGGATTTCTGTGTTGCCTGTCCCCCCTCTGCTGGCAGCTGCTGCACTTGCTGAGCACAGATTTGCTCCCAATGAAATGGTGCCTTTCCCCAGAGCCTTTCTATAACACTCTTCACAGCTCAGTCATTTGCAGCCTTAAAAACACACTTTTCGTGTTGTTTTGTTGTGTTTTTTTTTTTTTTTCCCCTAGAGAGAATAACACAATCAGTGTGTGGAATAACGGGAAAGGTATCCCAGTTGTTGAGCACAAAGTGGAGAAGGTCTATGTGCCTGCTCTGATCTTTGGACAGCTGCTGACATCCAGCAACTACGATGACAACGAGAAGAAAGTCACAGGTGGGGAAGAAGTTGCATTACTGAGCTTGCAGAACATTGTTGCTTGTTGACAGTTGCCTTTGGATTGTGCTGAAGTGGCCAAACTCCTGTTAGTCTGGGATTCTTTTAAATAATTTTGGGCAAAGATAGTAACACAAATCTGTGTTCCTTCTAATTCCAGGGGGGAGGAATGGTTATGGAGCCAAACTGTGCAACATATTCAGCACAAAATTCACCGTGGAAACTGGATGTCGTGAATACAAAAAGTTATTCAAGCAGGTAAGAGCACTTCTCATTTCAGAGAGGTTATACCCAGGGTTTTCAGGTGAGACCCTCAGTTTTGTTTCAAAAATCTAGGCACACCTTGCATTCAGTGCACCGTGTTTAGAGTAAATTTGACCCACAAAATATAATTCAAAGGAACAATTACAGTAGCAGACAGCATCAAAATCTGGTTTTCAACCAGAGGTTTTTGTTAAATTTGAAAGTATCTAAAACTCAAACCAGCTTACTGCTTTTAAAAACTATGGTAGTTATTTGCATGTGCTTGACTTGCAACTCACAAAAGCTCCTTTCCTCAGACCTGGACAGACAACATGGGAAAGGCTGGAGAAATGAAGCTGAAATACTTTGATGGAGATGATTACACCTGTGTCACTTTCCAACCTGATCTGTCCAAGTTCAAAATGACAGTGCTGGATAAGGACATCGTAGCACTGATGTCTCGAAGAGTGTATGATATTGCTGGGTCCACAAAGGATGTCAAAGTTTTCCTGAATGGACAGAGGCTGCCTGTAAGTGAGCATTGAAAAGAAACACAAACATCTGCATTTCTTGTGCCATTTTAACCAGTGAGATTGTGTTGAAGCCATTCCTGTCATCGATGTGCATTAAGTATTTATGGGAGCTGTTATCAACCAGTTGTCTGCTCTCATCTGTGTGCAGGTGAAAGGATTCCGCAGCTATGTGGACCTCTATCTGAAGGATAAGGTCGATGAAACTGGGAATGCACTTAAGGTTATCCACGAGGAAGTCAATTCCCGGTGGGAAGTGTGTTTGACTTTGAGTGAGAAAGGCTTCCAGCAAGTCAGCTTTGTCAACAGCATTGCCACCACAAAGGTAACCTCTCAGTGTGTTCAGTCAAGCCAGTGGCAAATTCTTCAACATTAATATTCTTGGCTATTTCTAAGTGTATATATTCTAGTAAAAAACAGTTAATGGTGCAAAGACTGTGCTAAAAGTTTTCAGTAGATATGTGTAGTTTTTCGGGGTTTAATGGCCTTACCCTGAGCCCTTGTCCTGTTTCCCTTAGGGTGGCAGGCACGTTGATTACATAGCTGACCAGATCGTGACCAAACTCATCGATGTTGTGAAAAAGAAGAACAAAAATGGAGTTGGGGTGAAGCCTTTCCAGGTACAACGTCAGAATTTCCCCAGTGGGAAACACAACTCGAGTGTTGCTGCAAATGCTTAATGCAAAACTGTGTTGATTTGACTAATTACACATTTCCATTGCACAGACACTAGATATAAGATTGCTGATTATAGAAGTCTCACATTGTCTGGTTCAAGCCAATTCTCTTTGCTTTGCTGATGTATTTTTTAATCACTCTTAAGTCAGTGTAAATGCACTAAAACCCAGTATCTGTTAGAAAACACCCATTTAGGCTGAGAGGTGCTAATTCCTTGAGATCCCAAATCATTTGACATTGTTCATGAATGTTCATTGACTGTCCAAAATTCTTTGAGAACATTTTGGAAGATCCCAAACCCTGCAGTGATAACTGAGTCTTTCCTCACTGCATGACTGATGGGTGAGCTGAGCCTGTACATTGTGTGACCCTTGTTGTATCTAACTACAGGTGAAGAACCACATGTGGATTTTCGTGAATGCCTTAATTGAAAACCCAACCTTTGACTCTCAGACTAAGGAGAACATGACTCTTCAGGCAAAGAGCTTTGGGTCCACCTGTAAACTGAGTGAAAAATTCATTAAGGGTGTAAGTACTGACATACCGGGACAACCAGGATGTCTATAAAACTTTGTAGCGAAAAAAATCCGTCAT